GATAATCCGCTTTATTTGTGTTGTGTAAGGCTTTAGTGCGAGGCAAGGCAGTGTTGCTGTGTCTCTTACTCTGACTCAAGCTGCTTCTGTTAATGGGTAACACTAACAGCCCTAGCCCCCCAGAGGAAATACTCACTAAGGTCTCTGCACTTGATGGTGCTGTAGTCGAAGGAGATGCATAGGTAGTCACACGCCTCACGCAACTCAGGGATAGAGATTCCATCAGGACAGCGGATTATCCCAGATTTATAGTAATCCTGTCAATTAGAGAGAAATCACAGAAGGCAGTCATTTCAAACACTTTATTAATACCATAACACACATGAAATATCAATAAAATAATTACGTAAGTATGAAGTATATTTAAGCGGATAAACTACGCCTGGCACCATCGATCAATGGGAAGCTAACATGCTACTTTAGCTAGCTTGCATGATTGTATTTGCCTGCCTATTAATCCCACGTTCTCTAATTAAAGTGTGAATAAGGATAATTTTTCTATGAGTCCCATTCCTATGAAGGTTACTATATTTTGCCTTTTGTTTTGTTTTGTTGGGTGATGTTTTGGACTATGGTCATTTTGTCTATGACTGTAGTCATATTTTAGTCCACCGTCATTTTTATAAGCAGAGCAAATGTAAGAGAGACTGACCAGAATTGCTCGGAAAACTGTTGAGCTAATGCCCTCAGCAACCTCGTACTCCCCCTTCTCGTTGGGCCTTGTGAAATTATGTTCTCTTCCAGATCCAAACATTCTGAAATAAAGAAACTTTAGTTTAGTCTCTGAATCACAAACAATGGAATTTTCCATAGCTATTTTAAACCCTTATTTAATATCCATATATATTTAATTGACTGGGTCAAAGTGAACTGTACCTGCCCAACATGGTATTTGGTTGTGCAATGAAGATAGCAGGATCTACTACAAAGCGTGTGTTGTCAACAATCAGAGTGACTCTTTCTGAGGACCTAATGTTTCGGTTCCCCACAGTGGCACCCGCGCCTCCTTCCTTGGGATTCTCGTAGACGAAAACCATTTCTCCAACTCCCATGCTCTTGAAGGTGCCTTCAGTGCTTGACAGGCTGCTAGTGCGACTGCTCACCACCCCGCTGCTGCTGGAGCCGCTGGGGGAGACCCTCTGGGGCCGCGGGCTGCCGGGCCTCGATGACGGACCATCCCGTTCACGGTCTGCACACAGACAGACAGAACAATGACTCACAGGACTAGTTCCCTTTGAACAGACGACAAACATCCTATCAGAAACATAGAGCAACTTAAAAATTAACGTACATTTTCTACTATTTTAAAGCTTGTTTTGGATCATTTTAGTTTTTATGAGAAACGTTTTTAAGCAACCAGCTTCTTTGCGATACATTTCAGTAGGGGTCCACTGTTAGTACCATCTGATCCAAAACAACCAGACTGAACAGGACCCTACTCAAAACATGCGTGTTGTTTCCAAAAAACAAGCCATCTTGGTCTAAACATAAACAGGTGGATTACTGCTGACTGGATTTGTTTCACAGCCAACAAACCATGTCTGGTTTCAACTTGATAAATCCTGTCAGCTGGTAAGTAGCTGCCTAGAGCCGTGAATCTCTAACATGATATCCTTGTTTTTATAAGCCCTCTATTCTATGCATGCACACTCACCAGTGTTGTGTTGGCGGGTGGGTGAGGTTACGTTGCGAATGCAGGGGGTGAGCTGGCCTTCTCGCTCGTGTGAGGAGTCCCTGGAGCGATCGGTGGAGCGGCGGCGGTCGCGTGAACGGTCAGAGCCTCCACTGGCACCATGCATGCTCATATTCCTCTCTTCTGCCTCCACTCGAGACGCTTGGGCCGGACTGCTGCTTTACAAAACAAAAGCATAACAAACATTCCTCTCTCTTTCTCAAGCCCGGGTGAGCACTTTAGTTAAACTCTAAAATATATAACACACAAACATGTGTGTGTACGTCCAAATGAACTGTAAGTGGTGTAACACTCACACCATTTACAGTTAAACAGGATTTTCAATAGGGCTGGGAAGATTATTCCGATTCATAATGATACTTGATTTCCAAAACATAGTTACACAAATATTGGTGACGTTGTAAAATAAGATGACTTAATAGAAGTCTGTACATTATATTCATCATTCACAACAGTAAGAGGGTCCAATATGTTTTGGCCATACATATTTTTGGACAGAAAATAAAACCGATAGGGTCATTCTTGCTTAAGTAAAAGAAGACAAAATTAATTTAAATAATTTTCCAGACCTTTTCAAGCTAACATAAGTGGCCTAAAAACAACAACCAGACCAACGACATTCGGTAAGCTTGTAAAAGAGTATGACGCCAAGACTAAGAATGCAGCCAAGTTGGATGTGGAAGCAGCTTGACATCCTGTTTGATGTTTAATACAGAACACTTATCAGACATGTACAAGCTTAAGATCAGAGAAGAAGTGTGTAGGCTTATCAAACCTGAAGGTCAAATCAGACTACTGTCAGAAATAAAACCTCAGTATACAGGGTATTGAACCCAATAAAAGGAAAAAAGGAGATGTGATAGGCACAGCTAGAGGGTAATTAGGTGCGGTCAGTACAAACCCAACCACTGACCACAGGCAAACCTCGGAGGTACACCCTTCTTGGCTGAAGACCAAAGGCATAAGTGTCAGCACTTCCTGCCTGTTCATATCCGCCTTTCTATTGTTCCTTCAGTATACAAAAAAATACAAAAGATACCCTACAGGAAAAGGACTTCACTGGGCAGGAAGGAGGAACCAATGCCAAAAATGTGAGTTTTCAAATAAGTCAACAAAGTGGAGAGAAATACTTTAAGCACCAAAACTAATGCTGTCGATTAGGAAAACCACACCACAGTGTGAGTGGTGGGCATTGCTGGTTTATGACTGACATACATGTGTGTCATAGAGGCTAAACGTGATGTATTTTGTGCACATCTGCTGCGAATAGGAGGTGTTTCGGGATTAAAGCATCTTGCTTTTTAGAGGGCCAAATGCTTAGAAAAATAACATTAGTATGAAATGTTTGCCTTTAAAGGGTGTTAGTACATGTTTGAAATGTTGCCATGATAACAGACCTGCCAACAGATAAATTGCCCATAATGCCATCACAAAACCAGTGAAATAAAGGCAAACTAATACTGTTATTGATTATATAAATTAGCTCTACTCTAGTCTTTCAAATGAACTTCACACGGTTTACTTTGTACTAAGATTACAACCATCACTTATTACAGAACCAGATTCATGTACAACATGAGGATAAATAATCTGATACGTACACCAACTGTAGGTTTATCATCTCATATATTTAAAAAAGGTTTGAGTGATACCAAGGCTTTACTCTAATGCCACATAGTCATTTTACACTTCATGTGTGAGTAATGTATAGTGCAGACTCGTAGCAGTGAGTGACACTACACTGCTAGCATGAACAGGAGGGCTGATTCAGCTGGCTCACCTCGAATGCTTGCAGAGTTTGAGGTCGGCTTGTTGCGTTTCGAACCCAGTTTTCGGTGTCACTGGAGTTACTGTCATATGACTAGACGTGCTGCCATCACCCGTACAGGGGGGAGTCTGGTCTGGATCTTTCACCGTACATTATCTGGTTAATGGCGAAATCAACAAGTCAGTTCAATCCCAAGATCAACTGCTAGCAAACCACGGGCTAGCAGCTGTCAGCTAACGTAATAGTTTGACAGGGGGTTTACGTGTGCTGTTGACTTGAGTCTAAATCCACCTCGGTGATAGTGGTTTGTCCTTGACGTTTGATGGTTAGAGGAGTTGTACACATCTGATAACCAAATCAACGCTCCTGTCAGGCTGACGGTTAGCTTAGCTAAACTACTTTGCTGCGTGAGCATACCTAGCTAGCTAACATTAGCTTGTGTTGCTAGCGGTACAATACAACACTATTAGCATAGTATTCTAGGATAGCATTGCGGCTAGTGGTGTTGTACGAACTGTACCGACATAGGAGCGGTCATTTTCGAGACGGGTAGGGCAAAAATATATCAAGTATAGTTACCAGTTTGGCAACGTTTTCCGCTGTAGTTTAATCCCACCAGTTAACTAGCCATCTCCTTTTCAAAACACGAGTTGACGTCCGACGTGACGACGGCTAGACGTGACGTACAAGACGCACACAAAGCTAAAATGATGGCTGTTGCCAAACTTGCTAGTTATTCACATTTACTTTGTCTGAAACGTATGAAAAGAGATGTACAAAACGTAAATGTTTTGAAGGTTATCGATTTATTTTTCGACATTTGGTAAAGGAGTTTTACTATTTCCCTAAAAGGAAATCGTTTGTTGAAGTCTCGCGAGACTTGCGGCATGTTTCTTTGTTCCTTTTTTTTTTTCTCCGCTCACTTTATTTATCAATGTAAGCACATACAAACGTATATAAAGATGAAAACGTCAGGAAATAAACATACATTTGAAAAGATATAAACGCTAATGACAAGGAAATGTTAATGAATATAGAAACATGATGAATCAAACAAATTCAATAATCACATTAACCTACTAGTACAGATACAGTTGGACGTCTAATTTTGCCCGAGGATTTGTAATGTTTCTAATCCTTGTGGAAAATCGAGGTTAATAAAGAGGTTTTGTGATAGATAAACAATATGCCTATAATTGTTTTTAGAATGGAAAATAGCTTAGTAACAGATATAATTACAATGGTTATGCATGAAATTATAATTATAAAAAGATTCATTTATTTTAAAAATGAATAGCCTACATAAATAAAACAAATAGAAAGATCAGAGAATTTAAATCAGCTATGCAACTTTGGAGTATGTCTATAGGCATGGTAAAGTCTCATAAAAATGAATAAACCAGCCATACAATGGTTTGTTTTACTGTTGAATCTCAAGACCTTGACCTTCCCAGAAATGTTAAACACAATTAGCATCTCTGTTGAGATGTTGTAGCTCATAAAAGGGACACATGGAAAAAATACTAAACAGCTTGGTGATATGATTTTAAAATGTTTAATCAGCACTGAACATGTTTCAATAGAAACCATTTAGTATAGAGGAAAATACAAGGCATAAAGGATTGTGCAAGTCAAGACTAGAATGCAAAAACATTAATGTATTCTCCTTATATTAATTAAATGAGAGGATGCCTCTTATGTGCAAGTGAAACAATACATAGAGTACATATAAGACTAGCTGTTTACAGTAGTTGGTCCTTGTTTACACAGTAAAAAACATTAATTTAGTTAATTTAAAACATGTAGTCAGAACGGGAGTATGAGGTAATATTCACCTCTTTTAGAAACTTGTGTGTGAAGACATTTTCTTCCATATGATGGTCTGAGATATTTAATTTAACAGTCGCTAGACATTGTAAAATAATGTAAACAAATTAATTAATTTAATATAATTCAAATATTTAACATACGAGAGAGAAATAAATTAAAATAAAATAAGAAAACAAACAATAACAAATCTAATTAAACATTGACAAAATAATAAATTATCAATAGGACAGACATACAATATAATAACAGCTAGAAAAAATGTTTCACTGTCAGATCCTCAAATGTCGCATTCTGTTTGATACAATAAAATATAAAAAATAGGTTTAATTCAACTTTTCCGCTTTTTCAATCCATGAACATCCTTTGGGCAAATATTGACAATATTTCCCGATTGTCCATGTTGTGGTTTGGCACTAGCAACGATGATGTCCTTTAACTTTTCCTGAAGCCAGTCCTGTCTGTCTCCCACTTGTTTGTGTTCCCGAACGTTGTGCATTAGCTGTACCTCACTGATGGTTCTCTTTCTGTAGAAATAAAAAATACCCAGAAATTAATTCATCATAAATGAATTATTTATTATAATGAATTATTTCTAATAATTAAATAATAATTCTTAGAATTCTCAATGAGAATAAAATAAATTCACCTCAGTGGTCTTGCCTCTATGTGTAAACTGGCGAGGAAGAGTATCAGAACCAATGCTTCAAAGTACCTCAATGAAAACATGTTGAGAAGCTGAAACAAATAAAGTGAAATAGTGATTAGAAAAAACAAATGTCATTGCCTCCTAATATATATCTTTACGATATCCACTTATCCAATTATATATTCAACAACGGATCCACTTTCATGTCATTCTTACCAGGTTTTCTGTCCTTATATCCAGGAAAAAAAGGGTTTGGCAAGATTTGTTCGGCAAACTTCTTGATCAGTCTTTCGTGCACGGACGGTTCTCTCCTTTATATACAGCGTAGCCCTCCCCTGGTCATCAATAAGCCATTTTCACTGTTGATGTTGATGTCACTTTTCAAATGCATCGATGGGGACAGGCATCTGCATGACACCACCTCTACCACCAGTCACTACTAACTCATCTTTCAACACCTCCACAAAGTGCCCCGTTCGTCACCCTGTTTTTGAATTTGTAACATTTGTACTGGTCTTGCTGAATATCAGGACTTTTGTGTCAAATGAAACACTTTTTATTTATGAAACTAATTTCGTTATTGATCCCTAATTAGAAATGTCTCATGCAGTGGGACTGCAGTGAAAACATATACTCTTTGAAATGGCAATGACTGTCAAGCTTAGTTTATTAGCAATGTAATTTATTTTATGGTTCACCTCATGCAAGCATCTAAAGGTCAGGAAGAGGTTAAACTGGGCCAGCTTGAAGGGGATGAAGCAAAGGGACCAATCCAGTGCTGTCAGCCACACAGGAGATGGCCACGACTATTTAGTGCAGGATGTTCATCGAGTCAGACGACTGCACCTGCTCTTTGACTGAATCTCTGCAGAGTTCTCCTAAACATGCCAAATTGTCTGTCAATTACTTCACTGTAGAACCTGGAGAGTACTTACTGTACCTTGCATCAGCTGTGGAGGTGTCCACAGATATCTGGTGTATTTCAAATGTAAATGTTAACAGATTTTTCACATTAAGATTAAAACAACACATCATTGAAATACAGGTACCTTTTCTGCAGCCACACTAGTAAGAATGAGTCGACTACACATTTGAAAAAATACATGTGTTGAAAAACATAAAGTTAACTTTTAAATATGTAATGCAGCATTGCAGTTAAATGACATATGGGTTAGGGATAACCTTGTCACAGTGTCACAAGGTGCATTAGGTAACCATGAAAGACATTTTCTAAAAGGCGCAAAGGAATGGCTATGCCATGACTGGAGAAAAGAGTGCCACAGAAGGACCTTTATCTTTCTGTCATAATGCTGCACTGCACAATATGCCCAGTCTTTTCAGTGTCCTCAGGATATTAAGCATGTTTTCACATTATAATTTCTGTAGAGAGGCTTCATTTTTTGTTTTCATTTCAATTGATGATATAACCCCCAAAACTCAAAATGTTTCATTATGCAGCAGTTCAAGTGTTATTAATCATTTGGAGTACTGTGCATTACACTGCATGACGTGTATTATTCTCACCATGTAATTAGAATTATGCATTATTGCATTATTATGTATATTAACACAGTGTCAGGCTCACTATTTAAGTTAAGAATATGAAGATTTGTCCCATTTACCATCACCAATCTGCCACAGAAATCCATGTGAGGCGTTAGTTTATTACATCAGACCTGCTCATCTCACTCAAAAAGAAGGTTACATGTAGGGCCATATAGTTGATGCTGACCTGAGTTTCATCCACTCTCTCCATCATGCTCGTAAACAGCACTCAGCACCACCTGTGGTTTCAACTAGGCTAGATTTTTTGTACATGTGTAGTATACTCAAGTGAGTTGCTCTCATTACCTCATGCGGTCACAATGTGAGCCATCTCAGCAATGGTATGCAGCTGGTGTGCTAGAGAACCTGACAGGGATTGATGGGAAGAATTGCACGCAAATCATTAACTTGGGTCACCCCCAAGTCACAAAGAAAGTAATTTACCTAAAATGGCTCATCTCTTTGATATATATATATATAAATGAGTTGGCTGTAAATAGGCTGCCTCTGTACATATTTGGGTTTTGATAGCTCTTTCATTGATTTTCAGATTCATATTTCCTGCTCATATAGTTGTATGGCTTTTGCATTGTACGTTTAAAGGCCTTATATTGAAGGACACCGCGATCACATAATGCTTTCCCAGAAAGCTATAAATGGAGTTACTTATTTCATGAAATGAGGTCACCTCAGTGAAAGATATCATGTAACTTAACAGGATAAATTTAGATTGTTGACATCATCCCAACTTCACTGGTGAAACCAAACAAACACATTGTGAAGCCTAGAGGGGGGAGAATCCAGTGCAGCAATAAATCATTCAGATGTGTGGGCAACCAAATCATTGGAGCTATTCAACAGTTTCTTTGCCAAACCAAATGTTTGTATTCTTTCTTGAAACAGCTTTGCAGGGACATGCCAGTGGATACCCACACTCACATCAATCTATCACAAACTTTTGCAATGTCCATCTGACTACCCGGCACAGGTGGTGGTGGTGTCAAGTTGGTAGTTAGTGTCTCTTCACTGTTGTGCACATGGAGGCCATGCACTACAAAGAAAGAGCCCAACAGGACATGGCCTGCCGCAAACCTTTACATCTCTTCGTTATCATCATTAATATTATTCTCATTGACATTACAAATTCTAACATATTATTCATCCCCCCAACCTTTTTTCCCCATTTCCCCATTACACCTCAATCTGTAAAATCTATGAACACGTCTTGTGCATTGCTGCAGCATATTTGCATAGATCTGTATTTCGCCCTTTGTGGCCCCAGAGGGAGCTGCGTTAAATCTTCACTTACAGTAAGTCTGCATGATATAAAAAAGACGATATCTCTCGTTCTGCTGCATTAATGGAGGAGTGCTACTTATGCCAAACCCATTAAATATTTCAATAAGTATATTTTAGAACAAAAGTAACTTATTTCAATGCGATTATCAAATTAGTTATGATATTTTGATAGGCTGCAACTCCTCAAAAGCTCTCAAAAATGCATCAAACACGCTTTTATCTTTGAGCATTTTGGTATTTCTACAATCATTTGTAATAAAGTCTTGCAGTTTTGGTTTTCATTGCTTGAGATGCGGTGAGATTACTCATTGTGGGTAAATGTTGACCTTGACTATACAGATACTATATCTTATACTATAAGATCTATTCATATTTGAGGAAAGAATCAAAACAATTACACCCATATAGAATATATATTTACATAAAGTGAAGTATGTTCAGGAGATTGGGTAAAGAGCAATCAGAGGGACTGTGTCTACTCTGTACTTGCATACTTGCACTCCAACAACCATAATTCAGAGGCCAATATTGTACTTTTTATTCGGACAGCATTACTTTCTTGGAGAATCAGATTTGGATTAAAAATATATATGATGAAAAATATTAATGAAATAACTTATCATGTTGTTATAAGTTAAGACACAACTTGATAGATCCCATGGTAAAAGCTACTTTGCGGTCATTTTAACTTGACCTTCAACAGTATATAATTTGTCATGGATTTTCTGTTATTATTATTATTAGTATATTAAATTGTCAAATGTTATCAAAACTGCACATCATATTTTAAGTTTCATCCACAAGAGGTTGCTGTTATCCAACAGTTCAGTTAAGAAGACCAAGATCCACTGAGATTCCTTTTTTATTTTTTTACAATGCTTTCCTTTGATAGAAAAACTAATTAATGTGCCTAAAACAACACTGAGTTTAATATGCACCTCTAAAGGTAATTAAAAAGTTATAGAGCAGAACAACTTGAAACACAGAAAGAGGTGATGAAATAATGAAACACCCTGACAGTCGGCATACAATAACACTACAATAAAGGGCAGAACACAGAATTTAAAAAACGAGTGACTGTATTTAATATTTGACCCACATTATCTGTGGAGACCTTTGAAATTCCCCTTAAAATCATTCCATCTATTGGAAGGTTTGGTAGGTTTGTTCGAAATACATACAATGAGAAAACAGTTTTTTGTGACAGCTGTTTCTATTTAACTTTACCTTATTATGCCGCCTTTTGGACATCAGTCAGTATTCGTGCCATTTTCTTCAAATGTGCACAACACCTCTGACCAACAGCAGTTTTGCCTATTATGGCCATGCATTTATACATTAGTATTTTATACATTATGTATGTAATTGAAGTCTGGGTAATTCTTAAATAAATAAAGTGAGTTGTTGTTTTTGTCTTCATTAAAGTGAACAGACAGTAAGTCAAGAGGGAAAAGCCTTGAAGAGTGACTCAGCCTTGTGACGCCTGCTCTTCCAGGTGAGCTACCTCGATAGAGCAAGATCATTCTTTTCTAAGAGTCACTTAATGACTGGAGTATTCAGGGCCTGTGGGAAATGTAACACACTTTCAAGTTTTTATAGCTAATAGGATTTGGTCCTACTAATGGAATTGGCATTAAGTGGACGCAAGGACAATGCAGACTCTACCTGGTATGGAATAACTGACAGCTTGTCTAATTTTTCGAATAATGTCGGTGAAGAATGAGGCAAATTCATTCAATTACTTAGTGGATAGGGGCGCTACTGACGCAGCAGGGATTGTCAGGCTGTCAAAAGCTTTAAGAAATGTATTATTATTGCGTTGGCAATGGTGTCTGAAAAGAGGGACAACCATTGGTTTCCCCTTTCACAATTAAAAATGCAATGCCTTTCTTTATAAATGTCATAGTGAACCATGGAGATTATGTTTTTAGACACCTGCCGACAACCCTTCTACAATCTCAGTTTTATTCATTTTTCCCAATATGGCATTACTTAATGATGTTTCATTCTTACCAAGGACAACCTTTACCTTTGTGTGGGGCAACTGGTATCAAAAACGTTTTCAAATTTGAGAGCTGAAGTGATCTACATGATAATGGATTGAGACCAATAGGCAAAGAACAACTTGTTGAAAAGAAAGCCTGAATGAATAATTCACTGATAATTTTAGTGATGTACAGTTTTCGGATGAACTCGAATTCAACATTTGTGATTTCAAAGAAAACACAGCAAGAATGAGCGAGAGGGGAACATTGCACACATCAAATCAGAAAATGCCGCAAGGGATGTTTGCCAAATGTCAACCATTGGTAACACATGCCTACAGTATATAAGCAGTAAACACCTTTTGACCAAACGGACTACAGTTCTCTTACATATCTTTTGGAAAGCAAGTAGGACAGTGGGTGAGTCATATGTTTAACCGGTGTCTGCTCTGAGATTATATGAAAACTGAAAAG